ATTATTATTTTTTTTTTATATATATATATAATGTAAAGTGCATTCACTGAGATATAATCCATGCTGCATACTCCGATACAGTAGGTGGCGGTATGCACCTGATATGTCATGGTTGCAATCCGCCATAAAACTAACAAGAATGGGGACATAATTTAATGATTTGGCGCCACAGTCATGTCATCGCCGGTGTGGAAATGCTATTACGTTTCGAGAAACAATGAAAAATTCGTTATTTGTCCTGCATGTTTTGCATGATGATATGATGAATGGATGGTTCATTTTTAACAGCAGATTCAGTGTGACGTTAGAGCTGATCTGCGCCTGACTGCACACATCTGCGGCGCGTTACGGCTCCACGGCTACCGGAGCTGATCGCGGCCGCTCTAGTCAGTGCTTGTGTTTATGAGCCAGCCGCGGCACGTTTCTGAAGCGGCTCTCCGTGCTGCTTGGCTAAAAATAGTCTTTTGTGAGTTGTCACAGCGTGGAGGACGGAACAAAACCTCGTCGGACCCGTAAGGGATAACGGTAACATAATACGCTGATCGTGGGCTGTTTTTAAATGAACATTTATTTATAAAACAAAATATCTTCTTTGGCCATATTAGTATTTAATTTATCTACCCCGACCCACCCGCAAATAATCAGAATGCATTTTTATTACCCCACCCGTGGATATAGGAAAAGCAAAATATGTTTGCTGCCTAAATCATTCTCTGCCAGCAGGAGGTGCTTTAAAGCTGGAGAAACAGAGGTTTCCCCAGTAACGGCTGTACACAAAGCAGCGCTGCCGCTGAGCTCACAAACGCTGCTTTATCAGGCATATAACATGCAAGATGAAATTAAATCGAAAATTTTCTAAAGATAGTCTTCCTTCAGAAATACAGCATCGGTATCGGCCGATCACCATGACAAGAAATCAGTACTCAGTATCGGCTGCAAAAATCCTGATGGGAGCATCCCTAGTTTTTACTTTTAAAAAACTTTTAAGGAGCAAGGATAAGGATAATGTAAAGTGTAAGCACCGCTTCCAAACTAAGCACCTTTTTTTGGTCAATGCAGCGAATTCAGAGTTAAACAAACTTCAATCCACATTGAAAAATGCACATGAAATTTATATAAAAATGAATGAATATATAGAAAAATTTATTAATATATGTTTTTGTTTGACATTATTCAGACCATTGGTACTGAAAGTCACAGTGCTCCAAATTAAACCGAAAGTTATTGCTGTGACATGGTTGAGTCAAACCGTAATGTTCCTAAAAGAGCAACACTTTTACTTCTCTAGTCTGCAACCTTTCAGAAGCAAGTGTGAGTAAGGGTGGAATGCTCTTGAAAAATGCAGCCATGCCACATTCCTGTTTTTGTTTTTAAGTTCTATGACAGGTGGTTGTTGTTGAATCGTCATCTGAAGCAATCAGGTCTTATAGTGCAGTTTTGGTTATCATGAGACTGCCCTACAGCCAATCAACATGTGGCACAGTGAGCTAATTTACCGAGAAGCAACCTCAAAAGAGTCCAGAAAATGGCATGAGAGAAGAATGCCGCTCAGTATTGCTTGGATTAGTTGTTCATCCTGTTTATGTTACTAATGTAATTTTGGCAGAGCAGATCAAACATTAGGAAAAGTGAGTCATCGTGTGCCATCACGCTGTGATGATTTCCCACGAGACGGCAGAAAGGAGGTCATTCAATAGGAAAAAAAGGGATTGGAAAAGAAAGAGATGGAATATGAGATCCAAAGAGCTTGTTAATTGTTCGTGTGGATTCTGGGTGGGATACTGGATGTGATATGAAACTGTTAAGTTGACAGCTGTGCTAAATAGGATTAAAGCTTATTATACAAGTTGTGGCAGGTAACATACCAGTCCTCCAGAGGAGCGTTCTCTAGGCGTGCAACAGTGCCCTCTGAGGTGCTGGGAGCCTACAAATAAATAAAGACATGAAGATCATGTATTTAAACTGTATTTAAATGTATTTTCTGAAATTTACTAGACATTTACTAGACCTTTTTATCTAATTGTAAGTTCTTTTGGAAAAACTGCATCTGATAAGCGATTAAATGTAAATGAGGCACTTTTTTAGGGTACTTTAATAGGGTGCAAATTCATGTCCCATTTTTTGTTTTAAAAGCATTAGAATGAAATGTATTAAAATATATATTAAAATGGTGAGTTCGGTCAGTCCCAACTCGGAGGTCTTGACCTTTTCCATTGCATCCAACAATTCAAATCAAACAAAAGATTAATTTTGAGAAAGTAACACACAAATCGTGAGAGCACAGGCCTTATTTTGTACCTTATTCGTAAAAAGTGACAGTAAAATGCAAATACATTTCCTTAATCCATCTTAACAGAACAGGCTGTTTGTAAATTCGAAACAGCTGATAAAAAGTGAAGCAACTAATTCTATGTAATCTGATCATCAACAGTATTAGAGACCAGAAAGGACTGTTTGGGCAAGAAAGAATCCATTTCTTCATCTGAATGATGAAAGAAACAAATATAATATTAATGAAGGCTCCTTGTTCCTCAGTAAGCTTAGCAGTTTGGCAAGACTGATTCCAAGAAATATTAGAAAGGCATTTGGCTGTGATGAGGTAAAATGAGTTGAGGATTGTGTGTGTGTGTGTGTGTGTGTGTGTGTGTGTGTGTTTGTGTGTGTTTGTTTTTTGCGCGCGCTGTGTGTGTGTGTGTGTGTGTGTGTGTACCTGTTTTTCTATTGTCCAATCCTTGTAAAAACCACTTGAAGCAGAGAGAAATGTGATTGGGCAGTGTGTGTGTGTGTGTGTGTGTGTGTGTGTGTGTTTGTGTGTGTGTTCGTTTTACCAGCTCCTGCTGAACAGAGACCTCTCTTTCCTTGTGCTTTCCATCCATTTCTGGCATGTATGTGCAGTTGAGGAGGTTGTACCACTTGGTGCACCACTCCTCTGAATACTCTTCATCAGCCAAACTGATCTGAGCACCAGCCTTTCAAGAGAAAAAAGACGAGAACTGAATAACCCAGGCCTATATTCACATACCATTATATGACTGTATTTAGGCATCATCACTCTGTTTATTTTCTCAAATCAGACACTCACTAGACAGTCCTCTCGACCAGCCTTGCTGGTGCTACAGACATCAATGCGTAGAGTCTTCTGTCTGAGAGCAGCGGAGGACAACTGCAGGCTAAACGCTTCCTTAAACTCTAAGGGTTCCTGCGGCAGAGCCCCGTGGGTGCGGAACAGGCAGCGAACGGGCTCCGAGCATGGCAGTACCACCACACGGACATATCTGCAATAGAGCAAATCCAACAGAAACTTCAATCAGAGTTGGCTTTGTATGAGAGATGGGCACAGGGCAAGTCTTAGATCGGGCCAGTCCTAGATCAGTGGTTCTCAACTAGGAGTGTTTTAACTCCAAAAAATGGGTGTGGGGAAAAAACAACCTTGGGTTTAGGAATCAAATGATTCAATAAAATGTTGAGATTCAATTCCAAAATAATTCTCAAGTAATTCAAAAGTACAGAGGCATTATAGTTGCTAAATTGTAAATATTACACATAAAAGCCAAAATAAAATGTCTGTCTGATATGTAAACAGGAATCATTAAAGGGATAGTTCACCCAAAAATGAAAATTCTGTCATTAATTACTCACCCTAGTGTCGTTCCAAACCTGTAAGACCTTCGTTCATCTTCGGAACACAAATTAAGATGTTTTTGATGAATTCCGAGAGCTCTCTGACCCTCCCACAGACAGCTAGAATCCTAACACAATCAAGGCTCAGAAACGTAGTAAGGACATAGTTAAAATAATCCATGTGACATCAGTGGTTCAACCGTAATTTCACGAAGCTACGAGAATACTCTTTGTGCGCAAAGAAAACAAAAAGAACGACTTTATTCAACAATTTGTCTTACCCTGGTGCCATTTTGGAGAGTATCACATACGTAAACAACGTATGCTGTTCTGTGTCAGCAGCACCGTATGCAGATACATTGTTTACGCTTTGATCTGAACGTAAACAACGTATCCGCGTACATACATTGTTTACGTATGTGATACTCTCCAAAATGGCGCCAGGGTGATGCGGAGGAGACGAATTGTTGAATAAAGTCGTTATTTTTGTTTTCTTTGCGCA